TCATGACAACCCCTACCACACACCCACACCTTCATACCGTACCCCAACCACAACCCACTAACACCTACCTTAACACCTACACCCATCGTCTCCACCCCTCTTTCCCATCCTCATTCTCACATACACAGCCGTGCCTGCACATGCTCACATTCACTCTGCAATAGAACAAACCTCCCCACAACACCCACACGTGTTCACTACCCTACCATCCCACCTGACCAGCTTTCACACCCCCACCCGTTTATTTCCCCCTCCATCCTATACTTTGATATTCAGTTCTCTCATAGAACCACTACCAACAGAGTATGGCTATGCTTAGATCACTTTGCAATTTACTGTTTTATTTACTTACTTACTAGTTTCTGGCAGTGAGAGTTCAATATATATTAATAAATATATAGTTTTCTTGTACTATATATGCACACACACACACACATACACATCCAGTGGTATAATGAGAAAGTGAATATATATATATATATATATATATATAAACGTGTATGTGTGTGCATATGTATTAAAGGCCATAAAAACAAGCAAAAGTTATATAAAAAACGAAAATGAAAGAAAATGAAAAAAGATAAAGATAATAAGATACAATGGAGGTAAATAAGAAAGAAGTTTATCTTTCTAGTATAAGAGAGATATATATATATATATATATATATATATATATATATATATATATATATAGATAGATATATAGATTGATTTTCCTTACGAGAAAGTTTGGCTTCTTTACCTGCATCATATCTTATCATCTTTATCCTTTTTTCTTCCATTTTCTTTTTTAACTTTTGCTTTTGTTTTACTTCCTTTCTTTTCTTTTTCTTTGCTTTATCTTTTTCTTTTTATATTGATATTTTTATTCTTTACTTCTTTTTCCACGCATTTTATTTTCACTTCCCTTTACATCCACTGTCTTCATTTACTTTTTACTTATTTTCAATCTTATACTTCAATTTTAGAACTTTTCACATCCTTTTCTTCATTTTGAAATTATTTTTCATTTTGTGGCATTTTCCTTTTTTTCTATTTTAATTTCATTTCCCTTCAACTTTATTTACTTCATTTATTTATTTACTTTATCAACTTTAAGAAATTCTCTTCAGTACTGACAGATTTCTTTCTTTCTTTCTTTCTTTTTTCCTTCCTTCCTTTACTTCCTTTTTTTCTTCTTACATTCTTCCTTCCTTTCTTTTTTCTATTTTTATTGCTGCAGTTCATTCAGATTCTTATTTTCTTTTTCTTATTTCCTTCAGTAGTATTTATATATTCCATGTTTATATGTCTACATGAACATTTTACTCCCAGACATTAAGCAGAAACTTGTATCACCGTTATGTAATTTGTATGCATACATTCATAAATTCATGAATAAAAATTTTAGAAATCTATTCACATAAGCCCTGACACAGATAATCAAGATATAAACAAGGTAGAATATAAAGCATACAGTAAATAAAGATAAATGCATATAGACATAGATATATATGAACAGCTTAAGATATGAACAGATAGACATAAACAAGCCAAGATAGATAGATAGATAGACATAAACAAGCCAAGATAGATAGATAGATAGATAGACATAAACAAGCCAAGATAGATAGATAGATAGATTTTAGATAGACATAAACAAGCCAAGATAGATAGATAGACAGACAAAACAAGCCTATAGATAGATAGATAGACATAAATTGTCCAAGATAGATAGATAGATAGACATAAACAAGCCATAGATAGATAGATAGATAGATAGATAGACATAAACAAGCCAAGATAGATAGATAGATAGAAAACAAGCCAAAATAGATAGATAAATAAACATAGATAGATAGATAGACATAAACAAGCCAAGATAGATAGATAGACATAAACAAGATACGATTATGTCTCGTCCAAGATAGATAGATAAACATTAAACAATCGCCAAGATAGATAGATAGACATAAACAAGCCAAGATAGATAGATAGATATAAACAAGCCAAGATAGATAGATAGACATAAACAAGCCAAGATAGATAGATAGATAGACATAAACAAGCCAAGATAGATAGATAGATAGACATAAACAAGCCAAGATAGATAGATAGATAGATAGACATAAACAAGCCAAGATAGATAGATAGATAGACATAAACAAGCCGATAGATAGATAGATAGATAGACATAAACAAGATAAGATAGATAGATAGATAGATAGACATAAATTCGAACAAGCCAAGATAGATAGATAGATGAAATAAACAAGCAAGATAGATAGATAGATAGATAGACATAAACAAGCCAAGATAGATAGATAGATAGATAGACATAAACAAGCCAAGATAGATAGATAGATAGATAGACATAAACAAGCCAAGATAGATAGATAGATAGATAGACATAAACAAGCCAAGATAGATAGATAGATAGATAGACATAAACAAGCCAAGATAGATAGATAGATAGATAAACAAGCCAAGATAGATAGATAGATAGATAGACATAAACAAGCCAAGATAGATAGATAGATAGATATAAACAAGCCAAGATAGATAGATGATAAACAAGCCAAGATAGATAGATAGATAAATAGACATAAACAAGAAGATAGATAGATAGATAGATAGACATAAACAAGCCAAGATAGATAGATAGATAGATAGACATAAACAAGCCAAGATAGATAGATAGATAGATAGACATAAACAAGCCAAGATAGATAGATAGATAGATAGACATAAACAAGCCAAGATAGATAGATAGATAGATAGACATAAAACAAGCCAAGATAGATAGATAGATAGATAGACATAAATAGAAGATAGATAGAAGCATAAACAAGCCATAGATAGATAGATAGATAGATAGACATAAACAAGCCAAGATAGATTAAAGCCAGAAAAAATTTTTAGTTTGTAAGAATCTTCTATTTTTTTTTTTTTTTTAAATAATATAGGTTTAGTGATACAAGTTTTACTAATTAACCTGTAGTTGAGAGGGTTAAGAGTTGGATTCATACCTTTCCCAAGTGTATTCACATGTAAGTGGATATAACAAAAACAACAGAATCTGGAACTCAGCACTCCAATCAACAATTCTGAGCCATTATCCATCACACCACCCTCACATCCAAGTTTACATCACCTGGCTTTCCCAAGCAGTCACCAATCTAGGCTCAACATAATAGTTATCTGAAATAAGTTCTGTAGTATTAAGGAAATATAATTTTTATAACACTTTGTTCAAAATATGTTCACTCTAATATAATAAGTTACCTTGCTACCAAAGAACCCATTAATAATTGTCAGATGTGAAACTTATAATGTCATTCAGCAATAATATCTATGATCTTTTGTCAAACTACTAACATGGTTTAGATAAACTTTACAAATAATATCCTTAAGTGCAATGAGAGTTACCTATTGAACTGCTCTCTTCTTTCTTCAACATGCAATAGGTAATACTAGTTTACATGGTATCAGTAACAAGAAATGATCCTTGATCTGACATATTATCAAATGCCCAATATCAGTGGTCAGCAAAAAATGGGTAAATTAAACTGAATGAAATAAAATCTAAATTTCTAGCGGGTAATGAAGGAATAAATGGATTTTGTCTAAAACATATTGATTTTAACGTATACAACTATGGGGCAACTAGTCGTTTTAATTTTTTGAGATGGGCTTGTATCAAATCAAGGTAATTATTTTTTTTTTCATTTCTCCTATTATCTTTTCATAATTGCTGTTTTGTATGATTTGCTTGTTTTGTTATCTGTTCTATAAAATGTGTTTTTCTAGAAAATCATAATAATACACTAGTAAACTACAAAGTTTCTATTATTTTCAAAGATACATAAATTACAGTCTATTTCTGGTAATTTTTATGGCCATATAAGTATATGTTATGTTTCAGAGTAACAGCATTCCTAGAAATAGTGATGACAGTAACGGTTAAATAGTATTTGATAAACACTGCTCAAGATAGTTTGCCTTTACATGGTAGAAGGTCTATAACTGCCATGCTATTTGCCCATAACTAGAGGTAAAAGTGGGTCCATGCTTTTCCCAAATACATTAATGTAACTCTATGAATACAAACTCTCACAGTCAATTTTGGAATTCAGTATTTAGTCAATGACAACATTTTTAAGCAAAAAGGTAATTTACTTAATGACCTAACAGAAATTAATAGAATTAAGTAGAATATAAAATATATTTACATTTGGTTTGGTTTATTTTGTTTTATGGCATCTCAACCCCAATGGGTTATTTAATGCCAAAAAGATTTTAAGGATAGGTTTGTATGAATAGAATATGTATTAATATTTTTTTTTTAAAATGTATAGCTAGTAGTATTTTTTTTTTTTTTTTTTTTAAATGTATTGCTGGTATTTTTACTATAAAAATCTGTTTTTATACTTTCATAGTGTTTTGACCCCAGTTTGGGGGTTAACTATTTGCCTATAGCAGGGACCCTAACAGGTAATACCACCCCGGGTTAGGGTGGACCTGGGCACACCAGCAATTAAGAGGTGATTCCACATTCCTCAAAATCTCCCAATCAGAGGTCTTGCTGCTGGATGTAGTTTATCATTATACCCAGGATGCAACATATTTAGAAGTTAAAGTTACTGAGTTTATTCTTATATATATAATATTATTATTATTATTATTATTATGCCAACATTATGCCTCTTTGGTGTTACAAAAATGAACTGAAGGCAAGGATTATGGTAGCATTTACCAACTTGGAGACCGTCCAGAAGAGTTGCAGAAAGTTCTGAAGTCATCTGGAGGCCATGGTTGTAGTCAATGGCGATTTTATTGAATATATTTATCCTTTAGTATTTCAAGATATTTGTGTGTAATTTTGCTAAGTTATTTTCATTTTTGTGTAATTTAGACAAAAATTTATCCATCGCATCCTGTACCAAAAAAAAGCTTGAAACTTAGAATGTCTTTATGAATAATATCTCTCTTTATTATTGTCTTTCTTTCTTTCTTTCTTTCTTTCTTTCTTTTTTATATATCTATATCTATATGTATATGATAAAAAAAAGTATATTTTTAAGATATGCTATATTTAGGGGTTAAAACATAGAACATGTGTGAATATAAAAATTGACAGCATCATGCTTAAATGCAGTATTCAGGCCATATATATATATAAATATATATATACGAGGGGGGGGGAATAAATATTCATATGCATTCAAATTTTTAATTTATTGTATTTCCAACATATGAATAAACATACTTTATATGGATATTAGAGAGATAGATAAATGAAATGGATATAAGATAGATACATATATAGATAGGAGTATGCTGAGAGAGAGAGATGGTTATTAGATAGCTAATAGATAAATATAGCTAGTAGATATATATATATATATATTTGACAGCTAACTAAATAAAATGGATATTAGATTGATAGGTAGATATGGATATTAGATAAATGGATATAAGATAGATAGGAACATGCTGAGAAAGAGATAAATATGGATATTAGATAAATGAATATAAGATAGATAAAATGGATATAAGATATACATATATAGACAGGAACATGCTGACAAAGATAGATAAATTACAGATATGGATATTAGATAGCTCGATAGATAAATATGACTACTAGATGGATATGGATAGTAGAAAGACAGATAAATATAGATATTTGACAAATAAAATGAATATATGACATATATGGATATTAGATAAATGAAATGAATATATGATAGGAATTTGCTGAGAAAGATAGATAAATATGGATATTAGATAGATATGGATATTTAATAGATACATAGATAAATCAAATGTATATTAGATAGATATGGATATAAGATAGATAAAATAGATATATGTTAGATAGGAACATGCTGAGAAAGATAGATATTAGATATATATAGATATTTGATATATAAATGATGATACTTGTTTGGAAAAACCTCGGATAACTCAACTTGCAGTAGAACAAATTGGTACTTGAAAAATGGGGAATAAAAAAAGAAAGAACCAAGAACATTAAAACAAGGCGAAAACAATCGTCCAGTGTTCAAGCTCCAAGTCCAAAGAAGAAAAAAAAACCCAAAGTGAGTAAAAAGACAACTACATAAAGTGCTCAATAACACTAAGCAGAGCAAAACCTAAGATAATCCTAAGGAGCCACGCAAACCTATCTATGTTTCACCTAAATGGACCCTCAGGGTAAAGCCGGCTTTACCCTGAAGATCTGTTTAGGTGAAACTTAGGTAGGTTTACCTGGCTCCTTAGGATTATCTTATAGATATTAGATAGATATATATGGACATTTTATAGATAAATAAAATGAATATAAGTTACAAGTTAGATATGGATATTAGATAAATAAATGAATATAAGATATATGGATATTATAGATAGATATAGAGTGAGATAAATATGAACAGACATAGAGATAGATATAAAACCATACAGATGGAGTTCAACATTATTTACATTTAGAAAGGATAGAAATATTTCCAAAAATTTCACAATCAAGAGTTTGATTTTGTTAATATTTATGTATTCATTTCTGTCATACTAACATAATCTATATATACAAGGAATTCTTATTTATTTCCATTGAAACTACAGATACAGGGAGCATAATAACACTGTTGGATAGAGAAAATTTTCATCCACAAATAAAAACTATATTTTATATAATAAGACACTAATATTGGCTAGGCATTTTAACCAGTAATGAGCAAGAGCCTACATACTGCACTCATAAAAATCTGTACCAGCAGAGGTGACATACTTTTTCACACTAGTGATGATGACATCATTGTTAGGAAAATGTCTTCTGTGTAGTTCATCTTTCAGTAGCTTAAAAGTTGGAAGGTGTAAAATCTCAACAATGTGTATGGTAGGGCAGTCCAGCTAAAATTTGCAATGTGCTCCATGTTCTTCAATCATGGAACACATTGCAAATTTGTGTGGAGTCTGATGTTATTATATTGTCAATAAAAATCCTTTCTTCTCTAGCTTGAATTTGGACTTTCAGCTTAGTGTATTGATGGTTTGTCTGTGTTCCAAGAAATCTAAGAAATGTATGCCTGTCATATCCCAAAAGACAATGTACTTCATTTTGCTAGCTAATCACTTTTTCTTTGATAGAGAATTTGCATATTGTCAATTCATGGAGTGTCATTTTCATTCTGAGGTGATCCCACATCTGGTCATTGGTGACAATGTGGTTCCCGAAAATGTCATCTTCAATATCATAATAGTTCAAATTTTCTGACATACATTTGGTGATCTTTTTATTCTTCTGTAAGCATCTGTGGGGATCATCTAGCACTTGTGGTATCTTGACACAGAAAAACATTGTTTCCAATACATTGAAACTAACAAACAGTACCATAATCATTTTCCTTGTCATAATCGGTATTATTAGTATAATTGTGATTATTAGTATAGCTAATCTGATCAAGGTGCACTAATGTTTCATGAGTGGGGGCAATTTTCTGTAAGGTGGAATTCAATAATACAGTTCAGCTTCATATGCAGTTTCATGTCAGACTTCATTTAGGCAAACTGCTAGTCAGCTGCTGTCCATAACAAGGCAAAAAACTATGGGTTATTAACAGGAAGGTTCAACCTCTACTTTTATATTATTGCTGTTCTCTTTCTACATAATGTGATAATAAAATAAGAGGCATTAATTTTGGAACAACCCTCACAAAAAGATTCAAGTGGTTCGGAAGACAATACTTTCATCTGATCAATAGTTGATTAAATATGTGTCATACCCCAGTTTATGCCAGAATAGACTTTACCCTCAGTGCCCACCCTAGACAGATGGCCTCCTGGTTACTGAGTGAAGATCTGCATAATTGGAACAGCTATATCTGGAATGCACAATTGGAACCATATCACAGATATATAAAAACAGGGCAGTCTCTCACATATTGCCATTAAGAATATACAATCCAAGTTTTTTTTGTATAAGGTTCTTTGGCTAGAATACCCACACATTGACTGGTTGTCATTGATGAAATCAGGACTTGAATAAAATATAATTTAAAATATAGACATTTACGTCTCATGTTGTCATTATATGGTACAATGACTTGGGGCACCTCGGCGTGGTGTAATGGTTAGCGAGTTTGTCTCACGAGAACATATTACGACTGAGTAGTGAGTTCGATCCTCACTGGGTGCTCCGTACTTCCGGCCTTGTGCCACATCTAAGCAGCACTTACAAAATCACTATATGGTACAATGACTTCATCATAAGAACTTGATTTTGTTAATATTTCTATTTTTATTGCCACTATCCTCATAATATTATCTACAAGGTATGATGGGTAAATTGTCAGCAATTTATATTTTTAATTTTGCATATGCACATTGTTCTTTTTCGATTTTGTTGACTGCACAGTATAGTAGGGTCAGTTGGACACCATTTGTGAGAAAAAAAAAACACCATGATACAATTCACTCCGTCAGAAATTTGGAAATGGCATGCTGCACTGCTTGGCATTTGTGCCAGAAGCTCCAATATGAAAATTTCAGTATATAGCTATAACATAACAAACTTAGTAATAAACAAAGATTTAAGTTTTATTTTTCAGTTTATGATAGTACTATCACCATCATCATCATTATCATCTTTCAACTACCCTATGTTTGGTAGGAATTATACTTTTTTATTTTATAGTTCAAAATGTGGGATGCCAATCCTACTTCCTGGTGTTTTTATCTAGACACCCAAGCCTGAAGACTTCTTTGAAGCCATGAATTGAATTATCCTGTGCCAGACACCAAATTGGAATTTGAATTTCTATGGACTGTCTTAGAGACTCCATCTCTGGATTTGTCCTCAGGGTTTACTCCCAAAGCCTTTCTCATGATTGGGTATGCCCACAAAGCAGTGGAGGTTTAAAATCAGTTTTCCATCCTATACTCATATACAATTTTAGATATTTTGTGTTGGTTGTGAAATCATTTTAAAAATAATCTGAATTAAACCCTTCCTTTTTTTTTAACAAATGTTCATGGAATTATGATACAAAAAATCAATTATTTTACAAAAAGTCATAAACTTCATATGCATATGTTTAAACATATTTTAAAATTTTATTTATATACATGAGTATACTATGTTTTAATATTTACATCAACAAAATTGTTCACTACATAAAGATGCAAAAATTGTTCTTCTCTGTGTTATGGAATTTTCTGATCATATAGAAAAGTGACAGGCAGACACGCACACACACATTTATTCATGTGTTTTCTAGTTCAATACCTCGTTAATATTAAACTAAGTTAAAAGCAAAAGGATAATGGTTAGTGACTCTGAAAATAAAGATTGTTATGTTCACTTTTACAAACCCAGCTCTAGGTAAAATAGTAAGATAGATTAGTATCTGTAGCCTTGGTGACTTGATAAAAACACCCATCTCCCAACAGCCTGAGTCACACATGGAAGTGTTTTGACCTGTAAAAATACACATTAACTGAAATTATTAATTATTAGATTATTTTTGCAATCTGCCATAGGGTGAGATAGTAATGTTTTTTTAAGTAAAATAAAATTACAATAACAAAATGATCCTATGCCATGTCCCCATGTTATAAAAACAATTATTATAAATGAACTAATTTTAAAACATATCTTTAAAAGTTTATATACAGAACCAATGACAAATTTGAATTCTTTTAACACAATATTTCTAGCATAAATATGCTGTTAACTACACCCCAGAAATCTTAGCATTCAGTCTCTTCAATTTTAATAATGATAAAAAACATTTAAAATTAAAATAACAAAAATTTGTATTTCTTCTACAGCATCCAATATAAGAGATGAGTGAATTGCTTATCAAGTTTATCATAATTTAAAATCTTATTGGTATGCTACCAAAATGGTAGTTACATAGACATTAGTAATTTGCCCATCTACATCTACTGGACTGTTAAATTGGGTTTGCTTTTCTTTAGTAACTAAGAGGCTAGTTTATCCTTGACTTCTTTGTCCTTTATGCATACAGAAGCCATCTGTACTAGAAATAAGAAATTAGATATATAGTCATTTAATACTTTAACTCTTAGCAAATATACTTTTATTTCTTATTTAACTCTTTAGGCTTTGATTTGCTAGAATCAATAGGATTGCATATGATGTGCTTTCAGTAATTAGCAACTAGGTCATATTTTTTTAAATGTACTTTATTTATCTTGGGGACCCAAGAATTTACCTATGAAAAATACTAGAATGGAATGTGGAACAATCCATAAATACACATTTTCTAATTTATTACCAGAGAATCAGCACTATGAGTTACAAACAAATTACATTTAACCCCAGTAACCATTACTTCTGTTTGCAGAGGGAAGGGGTTGGTTAGATTTAATATACATAGTCTGGACCACTTTCAAATGACAATCTGAGTATACTCTGCTGATAAGTAAAAAAAAATCTGATGAAAGATGAGGTAAATTACAGACTAGGTGTCCTGCAATCGCAGATTCTTCTATATTGGCCAAACATGTGCAGATTGTCTTACTGCTCTCTATGGAACATAGCGGGTATGTGCTGATAGATTTTCACTGCTGGCATCTGATTAGTTCTGTCTATATATACAGCACCATGCTGATATTTAAAGCTATAAATCACTGAACTAACATGATAGAAGGAGGAGGACAATTCTAGTCATAACAATGTCACTTGAAGTCATTTAATACTTCTTTTAAAATAAATAAAAAAATAGATCGGTGTATATATATTATTCACTATAAAATATTTAAAACATCTAATGTAACTATTATCAGTAACTCAGGACTTCAAAATCCACCTCATGTAAAAATATTGTGTCCAATAACTATACTATAATCAAAAAACAATATTAAATCCTTATATTGACTGCACATGTAACACACACTCTTGTCAATTTGCAAATATTAATGATCAGATCATTTCTTCTTCTTCTTCTTCTTCTATGTGCCATGTCCCTTCAGGACCTTAGTGATAAGGGTTGGCTCTCTTCAATTTACTGTCCTTTGTAGCTCTTAATAAATTTTGTCTTTTTGTTATCTCTCATAAACCTTTTTTTTTGACCATCCATTTACTCAAGCTCACCAGGTAGGTTATGCATTGTTTTCCTCTCCCTGTTGCGTTCAAACTGTCCTGTGAGCATCAAATTTTCCAAGTCATCTTTCCTCATTATCTTCCCTAGAAATACCAACTATCTCTTCCTTATGTTAAGTACATGTATCCTTTTTGTTCCAATTTTCTCTTTGTTATTGCTCATATGTTCAGTCTATGACATTCTCAGCATCCCTATGTAGAACTACATATCTTTGAGAAGACAATCAACCAGAACACAGCTATTAACATATAATAAATATTAGTAGACAACAAAATATAGCATTCACTATAAAGAAAGATGCAAAATATTCAAGCGTATTATTATACAAAAGAATTGGTTCATATTAAATATCTTTAACCGCAGAAGATGTACATCATTGTTAGTTGCTGTTTCTACCTGCAGAAGATTGCAAATTAACATAATTTATTTCCCACTATTTATTACAATCTTCAGCAAAATTATTCAATGTCTGCCACTCACTAGTTGGTGACTACCAAATTATGTTAACTCTCTGTTTTGGTTGTCTTCTATTTCTTTCTCCAGGCACCACACTCTTAACACACAATGTGCATGAAATATTTTATATATATATATATAAAGATTACTTCAAATAAAATTACAGGTAGAATTCATGATTTAATTGAAATAATCGCTATTTTCTGATACCAAACTGTAAATTTTATATTTTATCTATCTATTACAGTTTATTCATATCTATCTATTTATCACAAACTGGTCATATTTATCTATCCATATCTATCTATCACAGTCTGTTCATATCTATCACAATCTGTTCATATCTTTCTATCCATCTATCACAATCTGGTCATATCTATCTATCCATCTATCACAATCTGGTCATATCTATCTATCCATCTATCACAATCTGGTCATATCTATCTATCCATCTATCACAATCTGGTCATATCTATCTATCTATCTATCTATCCATCTATCACAATCTGGTCATATCATCTATCTATCTATCTATCCATCTATCAAAATCTTAAATTATCATCTATCATCTATCTATCCATCTATCAGAATCTGGTCATATTATCTTATCTATCTATCTATCCATCTATCACAATCTTGATCTATCAATCTATCTATCTTCCATCTATCACAATCTGGTCATATCTATCTATCTATCTATCTATCCATCTATCACAATCATTATCTATCTATCTGATGGATCCATCTTGATCTGGTCATATCTATCTATCTATCTATCTATCCATCTATCACAATCTGGTCATATCTATCTATCTATCTATCTATCCATCTATCACAATCTGGTCATATCTATCTATCTATCTATCTATCCATCTATCACAATCTGGTCATATCTATCTATCTATCTATCTATCCATCTATCACAATCTCCATTATCTATCTATCTATCTATCTATCCATCTATCAATCTGGTCTATCTATCTATCTATCTATCTATCCATCTATCACAAATCTGGTCAATCTATCTATCTATCCATCTATCACAATCTGGTTCAAATCTATCTATCTATCATCCATTATCATATCTCTGGTCATATCTATCTATCTATCTATTCATCCATCTATTCATCTATCTATTCATTATCTATCTATCTATCTCTATCCATCTATCACAATCTGGTCATATCTTTTCTATCTATCCATCTATCTATCTATCTGGTCATATTATATATCCATCCATCTATCATCTATTCATCATATCCATCTATCTATCTATCCATCTATCTATCACAATCATTCATTATCTATCTATCTATCCATCCATCTATCCAATCTGGTCATATCTATCTATCTATCCATCCATCTATCCATCTATCATATCTATCTATCTATCTATCTATCCATCTATCACAATCTGGTCCATATCTATCCATCTATCTATCTATCCATCTTCATTCAATCTATCCATCCAATCTATCTATCTATCTATCTATCTATCTAATCTCTATCATCTATCTATCTATCTATCCATCTATCATCTATCTATCTATCTTCATCTATCTATCTATCTATCTATCCATCCATCTATCCATCCTATCATCCTATCTATCTATCCATCTATCTATCCATCTATCTATCTGTCATATCTATCTATCTATCTATCTATCTATCCATCTATCAATCTATCATATCTATCTATCTATCTATCCATCTATCCATCCATCTATCTCTGGTCATATCTATCTATCTATCTATCTATCCATCTATCCATCACATCTATCCATCATCCATCTATCTATCTATCTATCCATCTATCATCCATCTTCTATCTATCTATCTATCCATCCATCCATCATCAATCTGGTCATATCTATCTATCTATCCATCTATCTATCATATCTATCTATCTATCTATCCATCTATCAATTCTGGTCATATCTATCTATCTATCCATCTATCTATCCATCCATATCTATCTATCTATCCATCCATCTATCTATCTATCTATCTATCTATCTATCTATTCAATATCCATCCATCTATCTTCTATCTATCTATCTATCCATCTATCATCATCTCATATCTATCATCTATCTATCTATCTATCCATCTATCCAATCCATCTATCTATCATCTATCTTCTATCTATCTATCCATCTATCAAATCTTCATATCTATCTATCTATCTATCTATCTATCCATCTATCATCATCTATCATATCATCTATATCTATCTATCTATCATATCCATCTATCAATCTTTTCATATCTATCTATCTATCTATCCATCTATCCATCTCATATCATCTATCTATCTATCTATCTATCTATCTATCTATCTATCTATTGTATTTATCCATCTATCTATCTATCTATTCTATCTATCTATCTATCCATATCTATCCATCTATCTAATCTGGTCATATCTATCTATCTATCTATCTATCTTCTATCTATCCATATCTATCCATCTATCATCAATCTGGTCTTTCTATCTATCTATCTATCTATCTATCCATCTTCTATCATCTATCATATCTTCTATCTATCTATCTATCTATATCTTTCTATCTTCTGAATCTATCTATCTATCTATCTATCTATCCATATCTATCCATCTATCACAATCTGGTCATATCTATCTATCTATCTATCTATCTATCCATATCTATCCATCTATCACAATCTGGTCATATCTATCTATCTATCTATCTATCTATCATTTATCCATCTATCACAATCTGGTCTATTATCTATGGCATCTATCCATCTATCTATCATATATTCTATCTATCTATATATCTATCTATCTATCTATCTATTATCATCTATTCTATCTATCTATCTAAAAAATTCTGTTTCTATGTCTATCTATCCATATCTATTTCTATCTCTATCTATCTATCTATCTATCTATCTATCTATCTATCTATCTATTCAGTCTTGCTTTTAGAAATCTATTCTACATCATTTATATATATCAAATATGATCTGCAAAAATTTTATATGTTTATATTGTCATCTTCTGTTTTTTGAATCCTTTTCTTTTGTTGTTTTTCTGTGTGTGTTTTTCATGTTTGTGTCTATTATCCTTTTATGTCTTATTTCTATCATTACTTGGGGTGAAATGATTTAAAAAAAATTTGTCCATATCTATTCTCTCTATCATATCACACATACACACACATATATATATATATCAATACCTTTTTGTTTATATCAAACTAAGCTATCAATATAATCATAACATCATTTTGTGTGTTATATAATAATCTGATTTGTGTAAGATTGCACCAAAAAATGTAATTTAATATTCTTGGCAAACCTTTTTATTATATAATTAAGCAATTGCCAAAAAGAAAAGGCAAACCTGTTATTAGACTGATACAGAAATGGCATATATTGAGCTTCTATAAGTAGTTGAATTTAATTTTCCTCTTTCATCTCTTCAAGTTGCAGAATTTTGGGGCTTTTTCTTGAGTTCAACATTAAAGATAATACATGAATTTAGGATAGGAATGCTTGGAGTCCAGGATATTTAACACAGAATTATAATTTAATTATGACCAGTAAAAAATTTGGCAATTTTGGTTATTAAATGAATTGAAATATTGAATATTAAATAACAAGTTGTAAACACAGGAAGGAAAAAGTAGAAAAAATGTGAGTCTGTCTCTCTGTGTGTAAAAGCGTAAGATAGAGAGATGACATATAAAATACCAACTGATTTATGATTTTAATTTGGAAAAGAGAAGTTTTGAATACCTTTTACAACAGTCTTTTCATGATTATATTTTTATACCAGGATCTGAAAACAAGGAAAATAAATTAATATTTTTTTAAAATTTTCTTTAAAAAATCAGTATAGACAAAAAGTATTTTTTGTTTTCTTATTTTTTTACAACATGATCTCGTTATTAAACATAATCACTTTAATATTGTTTATTATAGGTTGTATAAACAGGAAAATATCTCTCTCCAGGCTATTTTTGTTTTGTCTGACATTTTCATAGTGAAAACATTTCTTGAAGAAAGACAAATGTTTTCTATGAACTTGAGAAAGAATAAATAAATAGGCAGCCTCTTGTCTGAAATTTGTTAGACAAGCTGTTTTAATCATTGTGCATATGGTTGCTTTAGTGGACTAATTTCTTTGTTTTCATTGTCTGATTTTTGTCTTTTAATTTTATTTCAGCCATGTACCCATTGGCCTTCTTCAGTGTCTGTAGAAATAAGCAGTTTATTTTTTTTTTAGAATAATACTTCCTATAGTATGAAATAAAAAACTATAACTGCTTAATTAAAAGAAAATATTTAAAAACAAAAATAAAAATTACAAAAATTAAAACATACAAACAGGAAAAAAAATTAAAATTAAGAAAGAAAACAAAAGTGAAGAATAAAGATAAAAAAAATAGAAAAGTACAAAATTAAAAAAGTTAAAATAGTAAAAAAAGTAGAAATAAAAATAGAAAATAGAAATAAATATTAAAAAAAAAGGAAAGATACAAAAAGAAAAATGAAAATACAATATTCCTTGAAGCAGACTTTTTTTTTGCAAACATACTGACCATAATATGAAATTGGATAAATAAATTTAAAAAAAAAAAAAGAAGAAAAAAATAAATAAATAAAGTACGGAATTTAAAAGAAAGAGAAAGGTGGGAGGGGAGATTGACTTTAAGGTACTTTCCATCATCGTCCCGATCACGTAGTAGATAAGGACAAAAATAACACTACCTGTATTTTATTGCTAGTGCAGGCTGGGATAGGTTGCTAAAGAATAAGGTAAAGGTGGAGGCATTTCAGTGCCGGTGGTAAGAGCCAAAGATGGTGAAGGGGAGAGAAAAAGGGGTGCAGGAGAAAGGAGAACGTCTATCAGAGTGGTTAGGGGAGCAAAGGTGTATGGTGAGAACCATTGTGAAGGAAGGAGGTTGGGATGGAGAAAGTTACATGTGAAAAAAGAGTATAAAAAAAGAAAAAAGATGTTAAACACAAAAAATTCTCTGATTCAGTCAGAAAGATAACTCATAAAAACGTGTATACACATATATTGTTGTATATATGTTTGTATGACTACACACAGACACACCCACACACGTGCTTGATCTCTGTCTAAATACACACACACACACATCATTTTGCTCATATCTATCTCAATCTGTTTATATCTATTACCCCCCTCTCTCTCTTTTTCAGTTTCTCTCACTCTATCTATCTATCTATCTATCTATCTATCTATCTGTGTGTATGCTGATGAGATTCAAGAGGTTTGGAACAGTTCACGTGCACCATTTACTAAAATTACACAACTTTACAGAATGAGTTCTTAAATTTCATTGATTTTTATATCTATTGACAAAAATTCAGAGAAGTAAAAAAAGTAGAGAGAACTGGTTCCTAATTGTATAGATAAAGAATTTTGCATCTAAAAAAAAGAAAGAACCTAAAACTTTAAATTCCACCACTGTGTGTGTGTGTGTGTGAATATGTATAATATCCAATGTTGATAGCACAATCCGGAATTTCATGCAAATCTGCAATCTTTAGGTGCTGAATACATTCTGACCATTATGAGATTCTGTGGTGATGATTTAAAATTGTGTGTTAAGACTTGTTTATTTAATTATTGTTGCCTAAAATATTATAATTAATTAATTCTAATTTATATCATTCAAATTCTTAAGATGAAGAATTAAAAAAATTAAAATTAAAATTAAAAATTATTTTAAATGACATAATTGGAAATTAAGTAAACACATTAAGTGTCAAGGGGGATAACTCCTTTTTTTGCATAAAAATACCATAGTTATAACATTTAAAATACTGTCTAATGGAATAAACTAGTATCATGGTGTTAATATAATAATAGGTTGAGACTATATATATATATAATATGTTTGGAACCTAGCCTTATACTTACAAAGTTGAAATTACATACACACATATAATTAATCATGTATGGTAATATTGGATTATATATGTGTATAGATAAATAAAAAATGTTATTAATAATGGGTTCTATGAATAATAATAGGTATTGCATATTATATTAATATTTGTAAAATCTATTTTAAATTCTATTTTAATCGGGAATTAGATGTTTAGTTTTATGGATACATGAAAATATCAATTCTATTCTCATGTTCAGAAAGTTAGGGTTATTTAAGTGTTTTAATATAATAAGTTTCCCTAACAGTTACATCTGCCTCACTTTCCATTGTATGGTTTAGTTTTCATGATTATCTCCTACTTAATACAAATTTATACATTGAAAAATTTTGCAATGAATGCCAAAAATTTTTGCTGCAGTAATCAAGCCTGAAGGAGAATATTTTGATGAGAGTCAAATTTAATTTTCTTTTTAGCATAATAAAATTTCTAATAAAAAATTATGTCTCACTTTTTTTCAACCATCTATAATAATTTTCTCTTATTTAAAATAAAAAACAACTACTTTTGGGGCCAATTTAAAAAAAATTATCAGGGGCTGCCTCAAACATTTGAACTGTAGTGTATATATATATATATATATATCTTCTAGTCATCTATTTATCATTGATTATCTAAAGTCAACATGAAATTTGTCACAACTACATCTAAAACAATAAACAATTAATACAAAACAAAATAATAACCTAATACTTGAAGGAGGAATTTAATCTATTACCAGAAAGATTATATTGGAGAAACCTCAAAGAATTTAAAGAAAAGATTATATGAACATAAAAGGGAACTCTTACAAAGCAACTCATTAAATGCATTAGTTACTTGCTGTAACAAAACTGACCACAATTTTAATTTTAAAAATTCTATTTGAATTAAAAGAGAAAATGATTTACTAAGGTGAAAATTTTTAGAAAATGCTTTAATTGCTAGATCATCCACAGAAAATTTGTGTCCAGGTTCTTAAAAAGTTTCACCATTCTTGGCAGATTCTCTACTATCATAATGTGGGATATTTAGTAATGAAAGTGATGGAAACCTAAACAAAAAGAAAAAGAATCTAAATGAAACTGGCTAGATTATATACCCAAAACACATACTAAAAAAAAATAATTTTGAAATTTAAAATTCTCAGCATTTCTTCTTTATGCACTTGTGTAGTCACATCAATGTAAATATATAAAGTCTGATAAAGTCTTAAAGGACAAAACACATCATACAAAAACTATTTTCACTATATCATACTTATTCTTTTAAAATTATTCTTGGCATATAAAAAATGTATATATTGTTATCCCATATAGATCTCTATATATCTATGGTTTAATGCATGTGACACATGTCTGATCAATGAAAACTGACCCAAACAAAATTGAAAATACCAAAGTTCTGTCTTTTTGTCTGTTTTCTCTCAATCAATTAAGCTTTAATAAAAGTAAAACATGTTAGATTGATAAACATTTCCCATTTGTTCTTTATTTTATCATATATATATATATATATATATATACACACATAGTCTTCTTCTGAGTATGTCCTGTACATCTCTGTGTGTGTGTATTCAAAAATATAAACTTATGAATTTTGTTCCTGAGAAAAAGAAAATATATTGTAACCACAAATATGAAACAGAATTTAACAAAAATAGGAAAATAGAAGTTAACTGATGGATTAAATTATACACTTATGCTTAACATCAGAAAAAGACAGGTGAAATTTTTAGGGCATATAATGAGGAAAGAGGACAGAAAATTTGCTACTCACAGGGCAGATCAAAGGGAAAGAGAGTTAGAATAAAATAAATTATACACTTATGCTTAACATCAGAAAAAGACAGGTGAAATTTTTAGGCATATAATGAGGAAAGAGGACAGAAAATTTGCTACTCACAGGGCAGATCAAA